ATAGCACTTTATTATTAATCATGTTTTGCTGTTTAATTCCAGTAATAGCAAACACTGAAAATGAGAGGGGGAAAAAAAGATTACACGGAGTTTCTAGCTATGAAGATGTTATTTGAGCAATATCTTGTCAGGATTAATTCATTAATATGTAACTGAGTACTTTCAGATCATTGCACTGAAGTTGCACTGCAAAGTATGTAATTTGTTTTCTCACATCCAAAGTCCATTATTAGTATAGCAAATAAAGAACATTTTAAATGTCAGGAAAGAATAGAAGTTACAAATAAACAAAATTCTGTCTCAAACCACACATGACAAATAAAAAAGCAGGCTTCCTCACTGCAGAACAGTATTTTCACTCTTTCCTAGATTAAAGAATATTTATTCCTCAAACACATTTTCATTAATGATCACTTGAGATGTTTGTAACACAATGGGCAGTAAACACAAGACCTATTCATCAGTCTTCTGCCAGTTACAGCCAAAGTGGCCTTTCATGCCACCAGTAGAGACAAACTCAATGAGGGGATCCTGCCAACCACAGCATCTGCTTCCAGTCCCTCATCTTCTCATGCTGCTGGTGGACAGCAACATCCCAGGAGTGACTGATGTTGTTGGGGGCTGCCCTCCTCCAGTACCCATCAATCTATTTTTGAGTTCTTGACACTCACACACTTTTCTTTTAACCCTTTTTTGTCCTCTGTAATCTCTTGTTCTCCTTGTATTTCTTTTTTCCTCCAGCCCTTTCTGCTCAGAGGGGTTGAAGGTTTGGTTATGGTTGGGCTAGCACCTGCCTCTAAAGAGGGAAAGACAACTGATGTGGTTTAAACAGGACTTAATTAAAACTTTTTAGCTCCTTCCTGCATGGTCTAGTGGGAGCTTATGTGCTCACTATATCACTGAGAAATACTTGAAGAATAATTGGCCCCAGGACAGTCATATACTGGTGCCTTGAGATTCCCCCTTCACACTGAGTAGTTCCCTTTGTTATCTTCCCACTGCTGATGTTAACCAGCAGAACAAGCACTGAACTGGAATGTTTCTGGAATATTTTTCTTTGCCAATCCCTTTTTCCTGTCTGTCTTTTCAGGGATTTTTTTTTTTTGGTGAGAAATATTCTCACAATGCTCTGAGCAAGGACAGAATGTGGAGGTGAGCCTTGCACTCTTCAGAATCTTTGTGCTGTAAATTTGGATCAAAACTGTAGGTAAGAATTGAGTCTCCAAAGAAAGCTGTGGCCATCTCTGCTATAGCCTGGCATACCTCTGTAGTGCAAAGATGTCACTTTTGGTTCAGAACTGCTGCACTGGTGAAAAACTGTGTGGGCAAATCAGTCCCCTTTTTTTCCCTCAGTACACTTTGTTTTTCTCATATAATGGTGGAACTACAAAACAAAGGGCCCTACATGGAGGGCTTTGCCTGCTTGGAGCACATAGAATCATAGAGTCATAGAATCAACTGGGTTGGAAAAGCCCTCTGAGATCATCAAGTCTAACCCTTGATCCACTATCACCGTGGTTACTAAGCCATGGCACTAAGTGCCACATCCAGTCTCAGCTTAAAAACCTCCAGGGACGGAGAATCCACCACCTCCCTGGGAAGCCCATTCCAATGTCTGATTACTCTTTCTGTAAAAAATTTCTTCCTAATATGCAACCTAAACCTCCCCTGGCTCAGCTTAAGACCATGCCCTCTTGTCCTACTGCTGGTTGCCTGGGAGAAGAGGCCAACGCCCACCTGGCTACAACCTCATGGAGTATTATCTGTGAAAATATTCCAGGCTGAGATCTTCAGTTCGCCAGGCAGAGAAGGCCTGGATCTGAAATCAAAGTTTTACTGTTGATTTAAATAAAATGCTGGGGAGGTTTCATTAAATTTAACTCTTTACTGTTTCTCTTGCAAAGCAGATCACTAAGTAGTCCAGAAGATGATGCATATTTGATTACGTTTACTGTTCTTGTGTCAGTCTGGGCAAGCACTCTCATGAGAAAAACACATGTACTCTGTGGCTTAAGTATTCTAACCTAATCTCCCAATTTTTCATCTTCATTAGATTTTGGCAATCCAAAACTGTAAATGCATTAGATTTCTTGAAAAACTGTTTCCGAACAACAAAATATAAAATACAAAAAATCTCAAAAAATTGAGAACTGCGCCCACTTCGGATTATGACATTTCTTTCCTGAAGACAATGAAACTTTAGTACTTACAATCTTCTGAGTGCACTTCTAACCAATGTACGTATTTCAGAGAACAGCACTGTTTCAGGTCACTTTATTTAAATTCTTTTGTGTCTAGGGAAAATTTTTGAAAATACTTGTGGAAGAGAAAAGGGATGTAAGATCAGAAAGGTTAGGTAGTGGTGTGCTTTATCTAATATTCTATTTGCAGTAGAGGTCACTGCCAATTTGATGTTCATTGCAGAAAGAAATCCTGCAGTAGAAAATAATGGAATATATTCTCATGTTATTAAAATCTAGCTTGTGAAAATTAGCACATTCTTTGAAATCTGAGCCTTATACATCATATTAGATTTTTTGGGTTTACTTGTGTTACCTGATGTTCTTGTTATACCAATGAAGTTCCTATCTCTTGAATACAGCTTCAATTACATTCTTCAGAAATGAATTCACACAGTGTGTAATTACACAGTTGAAAAAATCTATTTCCTTTTTCAGTTATAAATGCATTATCTTTTGACTAAATGGATGTTTCCTTGTTTATATCTGATGAGAAGAGGCAATTCTATTAGTTCTATCCACCTTCCCAGTTTTTTCCTGTGTACGTTCATTCCACTTCCTCATACTTATGTCTGGTTTAAAGTACAGTATTAATCTATCTTCATAACAGTATTTTTCCATGTCTAAGAGTCTTTGTCATCAGATCTGGCCTTCTTCTATTTTTGCTATGTCACCCCTGGGGACATAAAACCTCTATAATAAATCGTAATGACAAAGTATAAATTAATTTAGCATGCATTTGCACGCAATAATCTGTTTCCTCTAAGACTCTTCGTATTTCTTGAGCTGACTTACAGTTCCTTCAACCAGCTGTCAATTTTTTTAATAAATGTATTTTCAAAAGTATTTTGCTTTTGTATCTCACACATTTTCTTCGGACTAAAGGCCACATTGAATAGGTTACATGCCAAGCCACAAAGCTTTCCTATACATGTTAGTATTTCAAATCAAATTGATTCTGTTAGAGTAAGAATGGAGTTTGGTTACAGACAGAAGATTTCCTTACCCTTATAGGGGTTGACCTCACCTTTCTATTGGTAAGGCATAGTCATACAAAAGTTAAGTGGCTTGTAAAACAGTTATATTTTACATTGTGTTTTAAATGGGAATTACACTTAAGTCCCAAGAAAGTAGTATGCAACCTTCTGCAAATTGCTCTAGAACGGATTTTCTCTAGTAAATGTGATTTACACACATGTATATATATAAATGAAATAAAAGTATTTCATTTGAATGAGCTTAGACATTGTGATGACTTGCAGAACTCATGTCATCCAGAATTCATATTCATAAAATACATATTACATATGTTTTAGCTTAAAGTTTGCTAGGGAACTGCTCAGAAGTATGGGGGGAAACATGAAGGAGAAAGTCTTGATCTCCCTGGACTCTGTTATTACTAGTTGCTTAACCTTCCTCCCCTTTTGCAGTTCAGACGATACAGCACTCGTGTTGCTTATTTTTGTGAACTTTGATATGGCTATAGCTAGATGTCCACAGGAAACACCCAAGAAAGTTAAGATAAAGAGACAAAACCACACAGTATTTCTCCCCACCAATCAGAAAGGGAGAATAACTGAGATTAGACATCTAGGCATTTAACATGAGATAAACACCAGACTGGGACTCTGGCACTATCAGTGTTTGGAAAGTGAAAACCACTTGGGGGTAGAAATGCAGAAAGGATATGTGGATACTATGGCACCTATGGTATGTTCTGGCACAGTGCTGTAAAGACAGTTTTTACTGTAACATGGCTAGCAATGGACCATGGCAGGAGGAGAAGGATGTCTCTCTAATGCTCGTGGTGCATGCCTAATGCTGCTGGGAAGGGGTGAACCTCGTCTTGCTGGCAATGGTCTCCAACAGCTTGGTTACTCTCGGTACCAAGTGCAGCTAAGAAGGTTGCCAATGGTTGCATCAGTGGTGGGCGTGTGATCTCCAGCCCAAAGCAAGTTTCATTTTGCTTATTAGAGCAGCAGTACTGCAGCTGTGTCCAGGTAGTCATAGCAAGGTTAGTCTGTCAGGGAAGAGTGACAGACACCTTGCATGAGATACTGACTGTGGCACAGATGAGTGAGGGATGCCATGAACAGCAACAGGGATTTGAAAGGCAAATGCTGAGAGCTGTTGGGATAGATTTGGTACCTGAAATCATTGCCCAGAGAAGGTCAACGAAGCTGATGGAGGGTCTGGAGCACAAATCTTATGAGGAGCAGCTGAGGAAGCTGGTGTTGTTTAGCTTGGGGAAGAAAAGGCTCAGGGGTGACCTTACTGCTCTCTACAACTACATTAAAGGAGGTTGTAGCCAGGTAGGGGTCAGCCGCTCCTCGTAGGCAACAGGACAAGACGACACAGTCTTAAGCTGCACCAGGGGAGGTTTAGGTTGGACATTAGGAAGAATTTCTTCACAGAAAGAGTGATTACATATTGGAATGGGCTTCCCAGGGAGGTGGTGGACTCACCGTCCCTGGAGATGTTTAAGGAAAGACTGGATGTGGCACTTAGTGCCATGGTCTAGTTGACAGTGTGGTGTTTAGTCATAGGTTGGACTTGATGATCTCAGAGGTCTTTTCCAATCTAATTGATTGTGTGTGATTATGTGTGTACCTGAAAGCATGGCCACATCCAAAGGTCCTGCAGCCTGGAGTCACTAAAGTATGCTAAAGTCACTAAGTGTCATGGAGTTACTTGGTATCATCTCTGTACTGCCCTTTACCTTTCCCATTTTTGCTCTCTGTCTCCTGAGTCTGCTTTAGTCCAGTAAAAGAACTCCACCCTTTTCTTTCCTGGGTGAGAGCCTGGAGTAAAAGAGCAAAGGAGAAACAAGTTTTTCAGTAGCATAATGCTTTGCCAGGTCATGAAGTGGCTGCTAAAGCTGTGTTGTCTGGCTTTACTTTCGAAACAGCTTAGTCTTCCATGGCAGTCACAGACAAAGGCTGCATTTTCTGTTACTTCGCTCAATCTTTTTTCCTCCAGCTCTGTTTGTGCTCCCTTAAGGGAGATGGGATCAGAGTTCAGAAGTAGAATCATCAATTTTTCCTCATAATGATATTTATAAAGATGTTCATAACATTTTAAATACTATGCAAGAAGCTTCTCAAACAGGGTTTCAGAGCCTTCCCCTGCATATAACTTAGGGATACATGACAGTGTAGTTACTTAGAGGAAGAAGCTTTGTATTTAAGTGTTGTGTGTTCTTCTTCACCCTAGGCAGATCCAGTCAGCGGATGTCCGTTTCTGAATCTGGAAAAAAACCTCTTTTGATTAGATGAATATAATTAATTTTAAAAGGAAATAATAAATTTGTAAGCCCAAAGTCTATAGAACAGATCAGCAGAAAATAACACTCTTCTCTAAAGAACAAGAGATAGTGCTCAGCCATGCCCTGGGGGCTTGAAGACCAATAGAAAATCTGAACTGAGATTCTCACCTCTTTGAAGTCAACTGGACTGATTTTCAGTGACCGAAGTAAAGCCAGGATTTCACACCAAAGTTCAAGATCTTAGGAGAAAACCTAAGGGGAAAAAAAAAAATCAAAATGAATAAAAATAAAAAAGACCAAAGGCATGTAGTTAATTTTGTGTGTATTGGGAATGCTTTGTGGATTTCTTAAAGAGACTAAAACTGAGCAGAATCATAAGTATTTGTGGGATTTAAGCCTAATGGTAGAGCTGGTGTTTCAGATAATCATAAGAAAATAGCATAAAGAAGGCATTGGATTAAAATGGTAGGGTTGCGTAGTGACTGACAACTTATTTGGTCTTTTCAAGGTTTAAATACAGAACTCAAATCAAATAAATGGGTCAGTTACTAATTAGAGTTGCCCAAATGTGGCAAAGTAAATTAGATTATTTTTGTTTATACATTTGAAGGAATGAGAGGTTAAAGAACTAGTTACAAAACTGACTTGGTCTTCTAGGGGAAACCCATGCTAAACTTGATCTGTCTTTGAGAATGTTTTTTGTCTCCTACCCTCTTGAGATTTGGTTAATATTAATGCAAGATGTGAAAGGAAATTCAGTGCTTCACATTTTAGTAGCTTTTAGTCTTGCAAGAGAAGGGATAGATAAATGAGATAAAGAAGATTTTGTTTGAAAACTTATTGCAAAACTAAAGGCTTTTACAGTCCTCCAAACACTTGTGCACTTGCTTTATGCACATCGATATAATTTTGTGAAGCTCATTTTCAAGACAGAGGGTTAAAATTGCACTGGTGTGAATTCCATGATTTCAGGTTCAAGTGAATGTGTCTTTTGTGCAGTTAGCTAATAAATTATAGTTAGCTACACAGCATTCCTAAGTGATTACAGAAATCCTCAATCAATACAAAAGTGAGTTTGTAGTTAAAACCATGATGCCTCTGAAGTTAGTGATTATAGATAAGGACGTTTTATGACAGAAAAACTATTTTTTTCATTGATTTGCAAATCTCCACTCTGTGGGTGTCCACATGCTGGAAGTTAAAGGCAGCAGACAGCACATGGACCAGCTGGCCCGAAGGAGCTGCTGTTCCAGCCCCGGGGTGAGCCTTTTTCCGGTTAAGCAGGTAGGAGCACATTGCAGCCAAAACCACCCTCAGCAAGGCATTGCTGCTGCCAGGCCCCGAGGAGATCAGGCAGTCAAAGCAAGACTTGCAAGTCTGTCATGAGGGGTCCTTGAGGGTTATGGCCTTTCACTAGTGAAATCACAGCAATGTTAATCAAGCAGAACAACAAAAAATTGTGTTTCCCAGTTCTTTGGACATCTGACCCTAACTCATTGATCAAAAAAATAGATAAAGGATGGAGATTTTAGTGGAAAAGTATCCTAGCACATCTGTCTGAAAACTAAGAACTGATGAACATAGCAGCAGGTACATAGGGCACTAAATCTGGATCATTCAGCCATAAAACTGGGAGCTCCTAGTACTCAATGGACTCCACCAGGCTTTTCCACCCTGGCTGCAGGGCTCTGCTGGACAAGGGAAGAAGGCATGTGGTCCAGGCTGTAGGGTATGGTTGTGGAGCCTGCCCTTACTGAGAGGCACCCTGGGAGACTCGTGGGGGTTCACTGGTCGTTACACTGGTGGGTACATGGGTGGGCAAACCCGCAGATACCCTGCCAGGTTTGCATGCATTTGCATGGCTGGGCTTCGCGAACGAAGATTTGGGAAGGCTCTATCCACATTTGTTACAGGCACGTTGGTGACTTATGAGGCCAATAGGAGACAGACATATCCAATTGCAAAAGGCACAGCAGAAAGACTCTTTGGATGGTATATTCTGCAAAACACGGTTCTTTCTGCGTTGCCTTTTCTCCTCGAGAGTGATCCTGCGTGTGTTCTCAAAGGAGACAGCTGCGTTATAGATGGTGTGTCTCCAGGCCTCCCGATTTGAGGCCAGAGTAGACCAGTTATGGTGATCAATATGGCCAAGGCTGAGATGTTGTTTCAGGGAGTCCTTATATCTTTTCTTTGGGGCTCCTCTCTTGCGGCAGCCAGTGGCAAGTTCACCATAGACCAAGATCTTAGGGAGGTGGTGGTCCTTCATCCTTGAGACGTGCCCTGCCCATTGCATCTCATCAGCATGGCCTCTATACTTGTGACTGCTGCTTGCTCAAGAACAGATGTATTGGTCACAAAATCTGACCAGAGGAGGTTTAAGATTGTACGGAGGCAGCGTTGATGGAAGCCCGGTGGGTAAACTGGCAGGTACGTGAACAGGTAAACTGGCAGGTAGAAGGGCAGGTACATTGGCGGGTACACGGGTGAGTAAACTGGTAGGTACACGGGTGGGTACACGGGTGGGTACGCCAGGACCATACCCAGTGATGTTGGGCCATCTATGGCGCTCTGCGGGTGCCCCTACCCCCAGAACCCAGAGAGGTCGGATTTCACCTCAAAGTGCCCGGCGTTGCCCTGACGAACACCCTGCGGCCCCCGCTGCTCGGGCAGCGCCATCCGCACCCTCCACAACACCCGCCTCTGAGTGGGACGCGTCTGAAATCCCGGGCCCCCTGCCGTGCCTGCCGGGGAGGCTGCGGGGCCAGGGCGCGGGTTCGGGCCGGCCGGGCCCGGTGCGCGTTTGCCGACGTGATGACGGCAGCCGCCCCCTGCCCGTGCCCCCGCCCGCAAACATGGCAGCGGCGGCGGCGCCCCGGCGGGACGCGGCGGCAGGTTGGGAGCAGGCGTTGGCGGGGAGGGGACACGGGCTCCCCGCGCCCGGCCCGGCCCGTGCCTGCCCTGCCCCGCCCGCCCGCCGCGGACGGACTGGTCCGCGTCGGCTCCAAACAAAACAAAAAAACACCAATTAGGCAGGCCGGCGGGAGGGGCGGGCTCCCGGCGCGCAGAGCTCCTCCCTTCCTTCCCGGCCGGGAGCCCCCGCGGGGTGACAGCCCTGCGGAGCGCGCCGCCCGCCGGGCTGCGGAGGCAGCGCCGCTCCCCTCGGCCCGCTCGCTGCGGGACCAGCGGGGCGGAGGCCGCCGGCCCCGCTGCCGCCATGTGGAAGCTCAACAAGAGCAGCAAAGTTCTGCTGGACGACTCGCCCGAGGAGGAGGAGACGCATCCCCGCGGGCCGCCGCCCGCCGCCGCCGCCGCCTTCGCGGCCCCCCAGGTAGGAGCGCGGAGCCCGGCTCGGAGGGGTCGGGAGGCTCGGCCCCGCTCCCGCTGCCCTCCTCTCCGGCGGCATGAGTAATCACTTTTCCCACTTTGGATGTGCCGGCAGCCTGGCCCTGGTCGAGCTGGGGGTGTTTGCGCGGATCGTGCGACTGTCACCCGATTTTTGGGGTGCTGAGTGGCCTATCCACCTCTGTTTCCTTCCAGCAGCCGGCCTCCGGCATTGCTGGGACTTGCTGTCCTTCATTCCAGTGGCTTCATACCACAGGGTACTTTCTCTCCCGGCCCTAGCCAGGGGTACTGCAACCCATCTGTAAAGCATAATACATTAAACAGGGATGTTTAAGAACATACCTTCATTTTCGTGTTTGTGTAGAGCACTGATATTTTGGCACGATTGCTTTTTTTCTATGGTTTCAGTAATAGTAGCTGGCTATCCTTAATCAGCCGCAATGTTGTTTGAAAGCTTTCATTGTTAAATAATGAGTTAAATACCAAGTGACCTTCTCAAAGTATTGGTCGCTTTCAAAAACTTGGTAGTAATTAGGCATCCGTCCAGCTCAGAAGCCTGTTACACTGCGTGATACAGCTTTGTTGCTGAACTGATCTTCTGTTGCCACAGATTATCTTTAGATGTTGTATGAGAGGTTGCAGGACACCTGCATATCTGAAGTAAGCAGTTGCCCGGGGTTGCACACTAGTGAGGTTTCTATTCAAAGGAAGGTACAAAAGCCCACTCAACTTCCCACCCCGTGTTTGTCTTGCTTGGCTTGCTGGAAGAGCTGGAGTGTTTGGATAAACTACTCTCTGCTTGAGTTCGTGGTTGACAAGTGCTATGGGTTGTCAACATGTGTGGCTACTGCTGAAGAGCAGCCTCTCCCAGTCACAGCAGTTATTCTCTCTATCTTCCAGTAGCCAAAATCACCAGTTTAGTCTTGCCTTGCCTTTTCCCCTGCACTGTAAACAGAAGAGCCCTAGCTCTTGCTATTAGTTTGATAGCAGCTGTGAAGATTCATATGGATGAATAGCATCTTTTCCTGTGGGAGAACAGTCAGTCATTTTGGAGACCCCCTTTGTGGGAGGAAGGGGGATTGTGGGGTTGGAGGTAACCTGAAGTATCTCCCACAACCTCTCATGCAACACACAACCTCTCCCTCCTACAGATCCTATCCTCAGGTGCTTGGAAACTTCCACTGTTTTCCTTAAGCTGTTAGCTTGTGCTGTTGTAGCCCTCCTAGACTTGCTTAGCTCCTGAAAATCTTCCTCAAACACCAAAGGTCACTGAAAGCTTCCAGTAAATGCAACTGACTCTTAACTACTTTTCTTCTTTACCATAAATGCTCCAAACCCCGTTTTAGACCCTTGACTATGGCCTCCCAGTCAGAAGATGATTCTTCAGCCTTCTGTCCAGACAATTCTCCCAGTCCTCTACTTAGCAACAGAGGCTGGAGTTTGTTTTTTTACTGGTTTTGGGGTTTTTTTGTTTGTGGGTTTTGGTTTTCTTTTTGTCCAGTCCAATTGTCTTTTACTATCCTGGGCTTCTGTTCCTTTAGTAGCAATCTCAAGTTATAATGGTGATGATGATTTCTGGTGCAAATGGTTTGCATTTTCATCAATTTTAGGAAAAATCCTTTTCAAGTCCTAGGGGCACTGGAATAAAAGAAGCTGATTTTGGGAGGTGGAAGATGAAAAATAAATTATTCTAAGTCACTAAATGAAATAGTCTTGAAAATCAAGGATTCAGTAAGGTTAGTGCAACTGTGGTGTAGCTTGGCCCAGAGAATGAAGTGAAGACCATAAGCTATTAGTTTTTTTGCCTGTTAAAATCAAAATGTCTCGAAAGAAACGCAACACTCCTCCCACAATATTTAACTGTATTTATTTTAGAGTTTATGTGCACTTTAAGGAAGGATAGACTGTATGGACAACTATTACCAATTGATTAACTTTGTAATTCTCATGATCAAGGCAGCTTCTAGATCAGCTATAGGTACAATGTGTCTAAAACACGGCTTAGACAGGTGTCAAGGGGAAAGTGTGAGGTAACTAAATGCACTTGTTCAGCTTGTTGTAGCTGATCTGGTTTATGTGTCCTGCTTTTAGTGTTTGACATTTTTGATGTTTCATCAGAACCTGTTCTTTCTCCCAGTAATATGATTTCAAGGCAATGAAATCCAGTAATGTGTAGGGGGATTTGGTAGTGGTCTGCACTTGGCCCCTGCAACGTCCTGATGTGCAACACCCAACTCCCTGACTTTGGAGGGAGCCCCATTGGAGCTTGGAGGAGTTATGGGGACAGTTCTCGTGGTACCCTAGCTGTGCATGAGAATGTCAGTCTTCCTCAGCTCTGTTGTTGCAGTACAGCCTGCTGTGAATGAAGGATTACCTTATCAAGAAGAAGAGAATCCAGGACTTCACTAATTTTTTTTTCTTTAGGGCCAAAATCCAGATAATTAGTTTGAGTGCCTTTTAGTAAATTAAGAAGCCCAGCAATAGATTTCATGCAACAGAAAGTTGACTGTTAGATTTTATTTCCTCTAGGTTCTTTTCTGATAAATCATTTGGTAAAAGAGAAGATGAACTGGCGTCATCATATTTTGACTTTGATTTATGACATCTTGTTTTTCCCAACAACTGTCTTTTGTCTTTATTTTCAGTTTTAATAAGCAAGTGACAAGAAAATCCTTAAGCTTCTACCATTCATGCTATAAATAAGGCTGAAACTTTTTACTTCAAAGACAAGAAATTGGTAGTCTCATCTATGTCATTAAAGCAGACCAGGTTGAAAGTATTCCAGTGTAATGAAATGTTGGTACTGTATGTTGTTTCTTTAAAGCTGAGAAAGAGTGAAGGACTTCTCACTGTGCAACCTAATAATTAGGACATTTCATTAGCAGACAGTAACAAAGAATTAGGCTACTATAAGTTAAAAGTAAATAAACAAAAAAAAACCTAACACAAAAAAACCCTTTGTTACTCTGGAGCAATTTTAATCATCCTCTTTAGATATGGAAGCCTGATCTGGGCTTACTCAAGCAGACATTTGAATTTGTAGAAGTTCATAGTTCTTAAATAGGAAAGCTTAGTTTGATCTGTAAAGACGAGTTTTGACAGTTCTGGTTTTGTGTTATATGGAGTGGTTTGATTTTGTTCCAGGGGAGAACAAAAACAAATTTTAGAACATGAAAATTGCAAGGGAGGGAACTGTCAGCCTCTGGCCACTTTTTAGCAAAAGTTTCTGCATATATTCAAGTACTTTGAATTGTTAACACTTATTTAAAATAGTAGGGTGTTTCCTGAGATAAGAAAGACAAGTAAATTTTGAAACTTGTGTAAATAAATGTATGGATTATTGTATTCTTTATTTTTTTTAAACCGGACGGTTTTAGACTGAATCTTAGAAGTTAATTTTAATTTATACTTTGAGGCATAAGTATTTTTAATTTATGTAATGAAGGTGCTTTGTTCATTTAGATTATAATTAATGCATTTAGACAACTTAACATGCGTAAATAGTAAACACTTATAAAATGAAATTAATGTGCTTTTTATGTGTCTCTCTGAAAATATGCTAGAAATGTACATAGTGGTGCCAAACTTGTGTCCAGTTTGTAATATAGTCATTATGTTTCAAACTGTAGTTTTATTTTTGGAAAGGGAAAAATGCTGGGTTTTGACTTCTGGAAGGCGCTGTTTTGGCAGTTTTGCTAAGTTCTCTTTGATTCAGTCCTGCTGTCATCTAATCAGTGCTCAGAGGTGTCAATGCTGTGTCAATATCACATGTAACTCTGACGTAAAATGGCACTCAGCTTCAAAACACATCTATATATTAGGGCAGTGGATGGGTATCAGGCTGGTCTGTATTATCTAATGCAACTCTTATCTTTCATATGAAAATACTTCAGGACCTTAGCCTTGATCTGTTCTCTCTGATTGTATTTTTTGTTATGTTCAAAGAGAATATGTGCAAAAACATGTTTTATGCTGAATTTTGTTTGGACTTGCTCAGGATGTTTGGAAGTTGGGTATACAGAATTTGAGTTATATATTTTAATGAAGATGTTAAGGTCTTTGGTACGATTTTAATATGAGCTTTCATCTTGAAGTGAGTCAAACTCAGACAGGCCCTGCAGGAATGGGTGGGAGCTGAGCAGCATTTCTTACATTCTACTAATACGTAGAATAAGGTATTTTTTAATTAAAAAAAATAATAAAGCAGTCAGTGCTAATCCAGCTAATGCCTTTCCTTCACTTTCTAGCCATTTCAGGCTAGAAGGTGTCTCAGGCTTTGCCTGCAGTAGTCTAATAATTCTGACATACATTCTCCTCTCTGCTAGCCTGTTTTTTTCTTTTCATTGAAGTTGTTCTTGTGACATTTCAGTGATATTTTTCCTGGCTAAAATCCATCACCTGTATTCTGTCATCATTCTTGAATGTTAGATTGTGGGACTGTCAGAAAAGACTTTCCTGAGCCTTTCCTTGGCCTGCCTTTCTTCCTTTTCCTCCTTCTTGTCACACACCGTCTTTCAGCAGCTTCTGGAGTGGGTCCTGTTTCCTTACAATCTTCCTGGAGCTCTATAGAGCAGACAGTGCCTTTTGGGGCTTTAGGCTTTCTTTTTTTAAAATCCTTTTCTTTTCTAAGGTGCTTCAAATTTTTATTTATACTGTCATTTTTTACACAGTTGACTGGGATCAGATATGCTTCTCACCTCTTATCCCCTTTCTGTTGGCTTATTCTGACTCTTAGAAGCCCACAAAGCACATATTGCCTGGTTGGTGTCCTACTATAGATGCCATCAGTATGTATCTTTTCTTTCAGTCAAGCCTATAAGGTGAAGGTTGTTGGTGATTTTTATCTATTGTGCAAAAGAGAATTTGTGTCCTGGACTTTACTGTTGTTTTCTCTATGAAGTCTACATCAAGTCTGCTTTTGTAGTATTTTTTTAAATTATTATTTTTCTTTCTGTCTAGACAGCTGAAATTCTTGTGCAGACCCTC